GCTTATGGGTCCAGAGCCTGCGCAGCGCGCAGCTTGAGTAATTTACAAAGGCTTCTACTTGAACCTACAGACAGCAGCTCAGGTGGAGGGGAAACTGTCCCCTGCCCCTGTCCGGAAGGGGGCGGGGGCACATCTGTCTCCAGGACTGTTCTGGAACGTCCTCTTTTATTTAGTACATTATGGACAACGCCCCTTACCAGCATAGATCCTCCTCGTGCTTTTATTTATGAACTTTTTTATTTTACAAACGGCTTTGTTGGGGTATAATTAATTGACAAAATAAACAGTATATATTTAAAGTGCACAATTGGATACATTTTGACATCTTTAAACCAGCAGTGCAATCGAGAGAGTGAGTGTGCGTTGCTCCCCCAAGTGTTCTAAGAACCTCTGTAATCCTTCCTTCAGACTCCGTCCCTGTCTGTTTTGGGACAGTATAAACAACCTGCATTTTCTGAAAACATACACAAATTGTGTCGTACAATTTTTATCCCTGCGTGTGCAAATTTGAGGGGGACGGAGAGAGTGGGGGAGTGGGGTCTTTGCACTCAGCAAGCGCAGTAGTTTTCAGACTCGTCCAAGTTGCTTCAGCAGCCGTAGTCCACTTTGTCCTTGCTGAGCAGTATTCTAATGTATAGATATAAACCAATTGAGCATCCACAGCATTCTGGACGTTTGGGTTATTTCCACTTCTTGCCCATTACAATAAATCTGCTATAAGCATTCTGATACATACCTTTTAAGGACACAAATAAGGTTTCATTTCTCTTGTGCATACAGCTACGACTACATTGTATTGCAAGTATATGTTTAACTAAAACCAAGCCAAACAAAAACGCACCGATGTATTTTTTTCAGAGATGTTGGATTATTTTGCATTTCTATTAGCAGTATGTTAGAATTTCAGTTTCTCCACATCATCACCCATACTCAGTATAGCCAGTAATTTTTAATCAAATTGATGTCTAGGGGCATCAGAGTTTTAATTTATATATATATATTTAATTTAAATCATTTTACTGGGGGCTCATCCAGCTTTTATCACGATCCATACATAGACCCATTGGGTCAAGCACATGTGTACATATGTTCCCATCATCATTTTCAAAACAATTTCTTTCTACTTGAGCCCTTGGTATGAGCTCATTTCCCCCCTCCCCACCCTCCCTTCCTCATGAGCCCTTGATAATTTATAATTTTTTTTCATGTCTTACACTGACCGCTGTCTCCCTTCACCTATTTTTCTGTTTTCCGTCCCCATGGGAAGGGGTTATATGTAGATCATTGTGATCAGCATGTACACAGGTACAGTTAAGAGCTGGAAACATGGGGAATCCAGGACAGATAAAGCCCTCAGGATTAAAAATGAGAGTAGCGATACCAGGAGGGTAAGGAGAAGGTGGGGGGAATCTGTATTTTCTTAATAAGTAAAGAGCAAGGGTGACTCAGGGGTTAAGAACTGAACTGATCAGCGAAAGGTTGGCTATTTTCCCAGGGAGAAAGAGGGGGCAATTTGCTTCCACAAAGCTGTCCAATTTTGCAGATGCTTTGGTTTTAAAGGCTGTGGCCCAAGGGAAATAATGCAGCCCACACACTCTGTTTAAATCAGAGGGAGGATCAGCTTGATGATACCCAACAACCACAGTGCTTTCCAGACACGTGAGCACGTGTCAGTACCTTGGTTCTCCATCTGGCTGAGTGGTGCTCTACCGTATGTATGCACTGCCGTTTGTTTACCAATCCATCTTCGGATGACATATGGACTGCTCACAACTTTTGGCTATTGAGAATACGGGCTGCAACGAATATTGGTGCACATATGTCTCGTCTGGGTTACTTCTTTCAAGTTCCTTGGGTAGATTCCAACTGTGGAATTGCTGAGCACCCCCAGTGTGGAAAGAAGAGTCTCTTCAGTAAATGATGTTGGGAAAATTGGATTTCCATGTACAGACAAACAAAATAAAATGCATACCTCACACCATACACAAAATCAGATTCAAAATGGATTCAGGGCCTGTCGTGGTTAAGTGATTTTAGTTCCACTAGACACTCCTGGCTGAGGATCGCTGGTGGTAATGTGGTTACACGTCTGGCTGTGATCTGTATATATGTTACTGTGACAACTTACCAATAAAAAGACACACAACCCAATCAAAAATGGACAAATGACCTGCGTAGACATTTCACCAATGAAAGAAATGGCAAAACCCAGGAAAAGATATTTAATAGCAAGGAAGTGCAATTCACAACCTCAATGAGACGTCGTCTCGCTCCCGCTCCCGCGCTCTCACTCACGGTCATCAGGTTGGTGCCGACTCTTCACAACTCTCTGGGACAGAGTGTAACTGCGCCCGTGAATTTCTGAGACTTTCAGTCCTCACAGGAAACCCCTGTCTTCCTTCCCCAAACCATCTGGTGGTTTCAAACTTCTGACCTTGAAGTTAGCAGCCCAGCGCTAACGATAAAGGGCTCCTTTATTGCTCCTTTCAGGGTGGCCTAAACAAAGCAAAACGCATAAAATAGCGGACGGTGGTGAGGAGAGGAAATTGGAACCATCATCAATTGTGGGTAGGAATGAAATCTGGTACAACCATTATGAAAAACAGTGTGTAGTGCCAGTTTTTCTTAAAAACTTAAAAATAGAACTACAATCAGTTTTGGTATGTCCATATTAAATCTGACAATCTTTTAAGTTCTAATAACTGTCACAGGAATTTGTAGATGGCCTACAAATAAAGACAGCTTTATCCTTTCCCAAACAAATGCCTTTTATTTCTTTTCATTGATGGATTGCACTGATCTGAACCTCCTGTACAACATTTAATAGTAGAGTAGACACCTTCATCTTGCTCTTAATCTTAAGAGGAAAGCATTCGATGTTTCACTGTTAAATATGACACTTCAAAACAAATTCACTGCCATTGAGTAGACAGAAGCTCATACTGACCCTAGAGGACAAGGTGAAAGTGGGAAACTGCGGGCCTGAGACTGTAAATCTTGATCAGAGTAGAAAGCCTCTTCACTCTGCCCGGGGTGGCTGTGTATTGAACTTCTGAGCTTGCAATGAACGGCCCCACACATAACTCACATGCCACCAGTGCTCCTGAACTGCAGGACTTTCCCTTCTATTGAGAGTACGGACAGGAAGACAATGAAATGCTTAAAATGTTCAAAGAAAAAAAACCCCAAACAATAGCAGCCTAACCCAGGAAATGTATCCTTCAAAAGTTAAGGAGAAATAAAGACATTCTGAGATGAAGGGGCTTTTCTCCTGTAGCACTACCTTTCGAGAAATGTTAAAGGAAATTCTTTACAGAGAAGAAACATGATAAAAGTCAGCCTCTGTCTACTCAATGTCATATTTAACAGTGAAACATCGAATGCTTTCCTCTTAAGATTGGATCTAAGTAAAGAAAGAGCACTGAGAAGGAATAAATGAAAATAATTATATATTTAAAATTCTTAACTGATCAAACAACACCTATTGTTAGGTGCCATCCTGTCAGTTTTGACTGACAGCAACCCTGTATACAACAGAAAAACAAACAAAGAACAGCGGTCTGTCCCGTTCCATCTTCACAATTGCTGTTTGTGTGAGCCCGTTGTGACAGGCACTGTGTCGGCCCATCTCATCCAGGGTCTTCTTGTCTTCTGCCCCTCTGCTTTACCAAGCCGGATGTCCTCTTCCAGGAACGGCCTCTCCTGATCCCATGCCCACAGCAGAGAACAAAGGACTCCCCAGGACAATTGCCCTGAGATCCTCTTTAAATTTAGAACAAAGCTTTATCTTCTGAGACCGTCTTTTAGTGAAATGACTGAGTAGTGTACAAAATAAAAGCTGTTGCCCATAAGATTGGTGCCTTACTGGAAACCCATTAGTCAATGAATCAATAAGTATTCCAAAGCAGGGATAAGGAGATAAAGGAGCAGGGAAACTGAGCAGGAAAGGGGACAAACAGACTGCATGCAAAGAGAATGTTGACACAGTTTGGTAACAGTAACTAATGTCACTGAACAATGTGCGTAGACATTGTCAAAGCAATTGGACATCCCTGCACAGAAGGGTTACAAGTTTCTCCTGGCATCTGGTGCACAACTACTGATCTGGCCAATCCCTTTTTTTCTCAGCCCAGTCTCAAAGGCTTCCCAGAGCAGTTTGCTATCAGCTGGCAAGGCTAACAGTACACCTACCTCAAAGTGTATCATCTCTTCAGTTGTATGTCATAACTGAGTCTGCGAGGGGCTTGATCGCCTTTCCCTTCCACAGAATACCTCATTGGTCCATTGCATTGATGACATTATACCAATGGGTTCTAGGTAGGAAGAAGTATCAATGCTCTAGACTTATTGGTAAGACAGGTGTACCACAGAAGGTGGAAAATTAGCTCAACAAAAGTTCAGGTGCCTCCCACCTCAGTGGAGTTTATAGAGGTCCAGTGGGGTGGAGCATGTTGAGACACTTCTACCAAAGTGAAGGATAAGTTATTGCATCTGACTCTTT